TGGTGATGGTGGTGATGGCAGTGGAGGTGGTAGTGCTGGTAGGAGTTTTGGGCGTCACGGTGCGCTCCCTCATGATGTTTGAGGAGTTTTGGGAATCACGGTGCGCTCTCTCATGATGTTTGAGGAGTGTTGGGCGTCACGGTGCGCTCTGTCATGATGTTTGAGGAGTCTTGGGCGTCACGGTGCGCTTTTTCATGATGTTTCGTCAGGAGTTTTGTGCGTCACGGTGCGCTCTCTCATGCTGTTTGAGGAGTTTTGGGCGACACACTGCGCGCTCTCACATGATGTGTGTGGAGTTTTGGGCGTCACGGTGCGCTCTCACATGATGTTTCGTCAGGAGTTTTGGGCGTTACGATGCGCTGGTGATGATGGTGATGGTGGTGATGGTGGCCATGGCGATGATAGTGTTGGTGATGGTGGTGATGGAGGTGGTGGTGGTGGTGACGGTGGTGATGGTGATCATGGTGGCGATGGTGGTGGTGTTGTTGATGGCGGTGGTGGTTGCGGTGGTGGTGATGCTGGTGGTGGTGTTCATGGTGGTGATGGTGGGCATGGTGGTGATGGCGATGATGGTGGTGGCAGTGGTGGTGATGGCGGTGACGGCGGTGATGATGGTGGTGATGATGGTGGTGGTGATGGTGATGGTGAGGGTGGTCGTCTCCGCACGCCAGCGCAATTTTCTCCAAATTGCTCTTGAGCATAACAGGGCGGCTGCTGCAAGCGCCATGCTTGCTCAGGAGCAATTTTGCACTTCTGACCAAGGCCCCAAACTAACTACTGCTGAATGGACCCGAATTTCGAGGATGCTCCGCGCAGGAGCGCAATTCTGGATGAAACATCGATGACTTTTAAAGGATGCTCCGCACGGGAGCGCGATTTTCTTCAACATTTTCAGGACGGTCCGCACGGGCACGCGATTTTCTTCGAAATGTTCAGGATGCTCCGCACGGGAGCGCGTTTTTGAACGATAGAATTTTGAGGATGCTCCGCACGGGAGCGCGTTTTTCTTCAAAATTTTCAGGATGCTCCGCACGGAAGCGCGATTTTGCTGAAAATTTTCAGGATGCTCTGCCCGGGAGCGCTATTTCTTTAAAAGTTTTCAGGATGCTCTGCACGGGAGCGCGATTTTTCTCGAAATTTTCAGGATGCTCCGCGCAGGAGCGCGATTTTTCTCATAATTTTGAGGATGCTCCGCACGGGAGCGCGATTTTCATCAAAATTTGGACGAAGAAGACGAGCTTGAGCGGAGCAATTTGATATAGAATTGGTATAGGATCCATCCAGTAGCCGCTCAGATGTTGAACGACCAAGTCGACGAATCCTATACCAAACCTATACCAGAGGCTTCCCCGCCCTGAAAACGACTTCGAACGAAGTACACCGGGACTCGTTGGATATAGAAGTGGTATAGAAACCATCAACATCATCGTTCATAAATGGTCCAAATTTTCCGAATGCTCCGCACGGGAGCGTTTTTTTTTTTTTGTTAATAAATGGACGAAATTTCGAGGATGCTCCGCACGGGAGCGATTTTTGAAGATATAAAGATGATCAAAATTCACAACAGTCGAATTGTCTCGCGCGAGAGCGCAATTGTTGAGTAACTACGAAGTCAGCAAACCGCCAGATTTTGAGGATGTCCTGCGCGGGGGCGCAATTTTCATCAATCAGGGGCGCGACCCGTTCGGATACGGACCCCTCTAGCAAGACTACTTTAAAGGCGAAGTCACCTAAGCTCCAAAATAGACATAATACGACGATTTTGAGGATGTCTCGAGCGAGAGCGCAATTTTGAAGCGAACAAGGGCGCGTCCCAAATGTTTGCGCGACGGAAGAGCACGCGCGCATGGCGGGCGACAGCACATCAAACAACTAGAACTCCACAGGAATGTGGCGAACGAACCTTTAGTTTCCTAGGAAGCTGGACAAGTAAGCATATCAGTTTGAAAAAAACAAGCATCGCAGACCAGGTAGGAGACCAGAACAGCCACGACTTCATGCGCGCGTTTCACGAGCACACCCGCCAGGGCCAAAAGCCGGCCCAGGCGCTGAAGGAGGCCATGTATGACCTTCGGCCTCGGGGGGAGACCACCGGACTGAGAGGCTGCCGAGCTCCTTCAGCTTGGGCTGCTTTCACAATCCAAGGATGGCCTTTCTAGAACGGGGGTCACTGTGGGTGTGTGTGACGGGTGTGGTCACGTAGGAAGGCCCTGGAGCCTCGTCCTTTTCTTTGCTGCAGTCGCTGAATGTTCGAAGAATTTAACTCGACTTTGTGCAGCGGATCTCCCAAAGTCCAACTGCAGCATGTTGCGCAAAAAATCCCGTGAACCGATGCTCTTAATGTCTCCTTCTGGAGGTAAAAATGGCGCTTGCAGCCTTGGACAAAATCGGTATCATCAATACAACAGGGGTCATCCTTTTGCAACAGTCGTCAGACATCACATTGGCATGCCAGCAACTAAAAAAAGGTCGTGCTAGATGCTGTAATTAGCAGCAACTCCGGGTTTTGGGTTCATACAGCGCAGCAAGAGGATGCAAGTGCAGTTATATCTCGACCTCTGGTATGGCCTTGGCAACGAGTTGGTGGGCTACTGCAAAGCCTATTTTGGAGCAGGGCCCCTGAGCTTCCAGAATTCTCCAACAGCGCAAAAAAAACAAAAAGCCTGGCCTAGTTCCCTGCATTGATGTCCGAAGGACCAGGCCCCCAACCTCTGCGCAAGCTTAACCAGGAACATTGTTTCCCTTCGCATTTTGTTTGTGCGGAGAACAGCATATCTGCGGCATGTGAATGGGCTCGCAGTAGGATGCAGGTGGGGTTTTAAGGTTTGGTTTGAATGGTTTGGCATTGTTACGGATTCGGGGGTCCAGGGGTTTTGTTTGGAAGGGGTCAGGCAAATGGCTTTGCAATGTGAGACTTGTCGAGTTCTTGTTGCCAAAAAGCATTACGGGCACGGGCCTCTGGACATAGCTTCCCGTACCAAGCTTGTCCACAGACGTGATCACTCCGGACCCCACAATAATCTGCATGTAAATGAATGGAAGCTTCGGACTCCGTGCCGAGCATCCTGAAAGAAGGAAAAGATAGATACATGTCTTGGAGCCCCAAAGACTCCTGACGCTACACTGGACTATTATGTTTTCATTTTCCAGAGACTTGGCCCAGCATTCCAGATATCGGGTGTCCTTGAGGTTTGGTGACGGTTACACGTGATGTTCGAATCTTCAGCATGGACCATGGATGGTCACCGCCGGAAAAGTCTTCGATTCAACAATATTCAACATGCGGGAGGCCCAATGTCCTCTCCTCGCAACATTGTAGTGCACATGCCGTCCCATCACGAACATCAAGTTTCAGTGTTGGTTCTTGGACGAGTAGGTAGGGAACCGTTTCCATCCGTTGAAGCTGGTGGACAGCACCACCTCGGTCATCTGCATTAAGCTCCAGAGTAGTTTGTGGTATTCGAGAAAATGCTTCGCACACCACGTTGGCAACTAGTTCTCCGTTTCAACCATCAGTCCAACGGACTTGTGGACCGCCTCCAGCATCAATACTAGACTAAACTAGGTTTTGGATTACTATACTTTATAACTGTTTTTGGACTTGCTCCTTAAAGGAACCATTATGATATACAAGTTCATATTTTGAGCGCCCTGGTTTCTTCAAAGCCCAGTAGACCAATGTAAACAGAGACTCCCAAACCCCCTAATTAAGGAATATTCCGTAAATTGTAATAAGGGCCCAAATATGACTTGAAGGTATATTCCTTCATGAAGGGGTTTTGGAGTCTCTGGGCACTTCCCCCCAAACATCTACTATACCAGCCATGCTCAAGGACATCAGGAGTGATAGCAACGCTTTGCAACCCCAGTCCCAGGATGGGCTGTTGTATCCCAGGAAACGAGCCAAAGAGCAGTCTTCAGCTGCCAAGGATTCGACTTGTAGTCTGAGGCAACAGCTGCCTTTTACGAACCTATTCAAGGAAGCCATAGGTTTCTGCAAATGAAGCGCTTCATGTGACTTTCATCGACTAGGAATTCTTGTTAGTGCGGCTTTTTTCCTGAGTCTGCAGGTTGACTTCAAGTGAACCCCCGAAGCCTCTACATGCTGCAAACCCTATAACCCTCATGACCCTCAAACGACCATTAATACATATCAAAGCCATCTCTTTTTGTTGGGGTGTCGAGAACGAACCCAAAAACGCCCCTAACCT